TCCTCTTTATTTTGGAAATGGATGACTGATGTTCTGTGACATGCTTCTTCACCTAGACACCCGTGATCTTTCAACTCCACAAAGTCTCCATTGGAAATTCACATGGGGCAAATTGTGGAGTGGAGGTAATATGCAGCAGCAGGAGATATTTTGTAGTTTTAATTATTCTCTATTGGCAATGTGAGAAGATGGAAAAGACAGAAGATAAAAAGCTAATGTTTGAAAGACAGCTTGTATGAGATGCAGATTGGACAACTGTACTGAATGGGAAATCTGGGGAAATATGCAAAAGAAATTCAAGAAGTATCTGGATAGGCTTTTATAAGTGACTAGGTGGGGACATATGAGAATAAAGACCTGTGAGAAAATGGGAACACCTAGCTTGGGTGACTGGCCTATTACAATATTAATAGAAAGGAGAATCAAGAGTTGAAGGATTAAAAATTTTAAAGGATCTATACAGTTTGCCACATTTTAATTTAACAAAATCATACAAGTTAAGAACAGTTGTAACTGGAAAAATGTTGTAGACATCAAAAGGAAACTATATCTTAAAGCATATCTATATTTGTGATGGCCTTGAGGCAGAACCTTTATGTATTTCTGTCTCAACACCAAGACAAAAGCCAAGCACCCAAAAAACATTCACAAAGGATTTGGAAAATTGAAAATTGTCAAAAGCCATATCATGTAAATATACTGAACCCAGAAATTCCATCAAATCCCTGGAAAACAAAATGTAATTGACCATAATTATTGTAGAGGCTACACATTTTCTGGAGTTGTGACAATAGAGATTCATGTAAGGCCAAGAATTACAGCAGCTGTTTTCTTACATCTCAGTCATTACTCAGATGTAACTCTCAAACTACTATCACTAAGCACTTGCTAGTAGAACTGGTATATTGACACTAATACTCAATCTCACTACTTTCAACTCCCTGGCTCATTTCCTATATCAAAATGTATTTTTTCTTTAGAAGAAATGTAGCTCTTTTGATGCAACCATAAATAGTTAAAACCATTACTTAACATAAATCTAACATTTTTGTGCAAGGATTTAATTTGTTTCAAAATTTCATTGTATCTTTCTGACTTGACAGAGATGCAAGATAAAAAGCATGCCAATCCATACATTTTAAATCATTCATTTATGTACAGTGAAGCTGTAGCTATTACTCACCATTTCCTGTGTCAAAAAGAAAACAATCACCTCAAATACTTATTGAGCAATTTCTATGTATTGTAAATAGATAGGGCTAGGCACTGGGTACAATGAAAAGAAATGTATGCCAATTACCTTCTGTCAAGATCAACAGAAAATTAAAAGGCATTCAATATGGAGTGATCAGGGCCACTGTGGGGCAAACAGGCTACAAATAGAGGCATCCATGCAATGCGCCTTTCCAGAGAAGGTGTCTTAGCCAAGAATAGAAGCATCATTGTGAATTAGACCAAGAACCTGAAAAGGCAGAAGTAATAAAAGAAAAGGGAGAGCATTGCAAATCCTGGGAGACTAGACATAAAATGATGGGTTTAGGACACTGTAAGTGATTCACTGCAGCTGGCAGTCAAAGTGTGCAAGGTAACTGGTGAGTGCTTAGGATAAAGCTAAATAAATATGATATAATATGCCTATGATTTGGAAGAAGTTAAAAGACAGTCTGGTAATCTATAAATAAGTTATTGAGTAGCAAAATGAAAATCAAGAAACTAGTATAATGATGTCTTTGATTTCATTGTGACCTTTGCTTAATCAAAGTTTTGTCAAAGTTTTTAAATCAAATGCATTTAGATAAAAATGTATTCGTTCTTTAAAAACCTGAGTCATTGAATTATTAATAATTTACTCATTTAATCTGTTTTAATTACTAAAGGATAGTACCTTTCCATTAGATTCCTGGAGTATAAATATATTAGCAAATAATACTTTTAAAATACTGCACCTACAATAAAGTGAAATTTCTGTGCTTTGTTATAGATGTTCTATACAAGAATTAAATTCACTATCATCTAGCTTCTTAACTGTGTTTGCATAGTTTTACCTCTTAGGCATTATTAATTACTTTATGTAACGTTATGTATAGTAATAACATACATTTTTCTTTTTCCTATACTGGAATTTGAACTCAGGGCTTTATGCTTGCAAGGAAGACATTCTACCACTTGAACCACATTTCCAGCCCTTTTTGCTTTAGTTAATTTTTTAGTTAATATCTCCTGCTTTTTGTCCAGGGCCAGTCTTAAGCAGCAGTTCTCCTACCTCTGCCTCGCAGGTAGCTGGACTCACAGGTGTGCACCACCATGGCCAGTCATAGTTACGTAACTTTATCATCCATCAGGGACATTTTTGATACTGAAAGAGTGCTGTAAGTAATTGCTCAAGGATAATAGGCCATAAATATGAACTGTCCTGAGAAAACCCAATGTATGATTTTTTTTTTCACAATGGGTATCACATTCTAAAATATCTTGAAATTACAGATATTTATTAAATGTTAGGGAAGTGTGTTGAAGTAGAGTAGTAGAGTATCTTTTTTCTCTTTCAATTGGACACGTTTTAATTCTTTAATATGCTACAATTTATCAACTGTCACACTTTGTCTTCCTAATTTCACCTTTATATTTTTACTTGTCAGAATGCTGGTTAATCACTGGCAAAAACAGTAAAAACTGAGGATGATAAATCTCTAATTCATGACACTCATCAGCCGTTAAATACATATGTATCTTTTAAGGAAGAATTCTTTTTCAAAGACTAGGAGAAGATACGTCATTTTATTTTACTTTTCTCAACTTCCAAAATAGATATTTGGATAAAGTCCAATAAAAACTTTCATAGTCAGTGAAAAACAAAACATCATTAAAATAAGAAAAAAGGAAGAAGTTCAAAAACTGACTATAGAGAATTCCCAGATTGCAGCAAGCATTTCAATGGATCCCTGAACAATGCCACAATTCACAGCTATTATTCAGGCAGGTAGCACATTATTATTCTTACAATTTGATACCTGTGTTTATTATCCCCTTTCTGCACATAAAACACAGCAGTTTGAGTCTAGTAACATCTGTAAAAACTTATATTAATATAAAATGTTATTAAAACATTTTAAGAAATTATTTGTGGGAACTTCTAATTGATTTTTTTTTCTATAATTGTTAGACTCTTATTGTACTCAAGTGTGTCAGGACAGCTGACTTTGATAGTAAAGGAAAATAATCGATTTTTTGTTTCAAATGAACCTCTTTTGAAACTGCTTTGGCAACTTTCTTAACTCCCAAGGATAGCAACAGCATGAAGCCCAGGTAGATAACAGAAGGCAATATTAATTTTTCACTTTTATATAGTCCCATGAAAACTGAAATGAAATAGTTAATGCAAGATGATGAATCTCATATACAGCCACTTTATATAGATGGTAACAGTAGTGCTTCTTTACCAAAAGCCTCCCAATCCCTAGCCAAAACAAATCTAAGGAAACTTCCTCTATCTAGAAGGCATTCCCCTTGGTTTGGCTGTATACCTCCTTTCCCTGTTAACTGCTTATAGTCTGCTACCTTTAAGTTCCTAAGCTTTTATTTCTGTTCTTCCTTATGTTCACTCACATTTCCCAATTCTTTCTCTGCCCAAACTCTTTTCATCAAGCAATATTCAACTTGGGGTAATCTTTACACTATCTTCCCTCAATCCTCAGATAAATCTGAATGTTCCCTTCTGTGTTCTGTTTGCTCTTTCCAAGTGTTTTCCTGTTAGCACTTGATGTGTTAGACTATCTTCAAGACAAAGAACTACTCTATAAACAGAAGTTCCAGCACATATGCTATAATGCTGAGAAGATACCTCCTAATTTGAGCTAAAATTAAATGTTGATGTACATAATATTATTTGAAGTTGAGATTACAGATAGTGAAACAAGATAACCATGTTAAGGCACTGCATATTCTATGAAGAGATGGGCATGGTTTCAGCTTAAATGAAACTAAGGCCAAATTTCAATTCTGTCTTTTATTACTCATGTATCTCTGAAATAATAACTTACCCCGAGCTTTACTTTTTACACTTTGTACAAATGAGTATACTTTCCTAAGGTCAGGTCAACAATCCAATGAAAAATGTACAGAAAATAGCCTACATAATATATATCCTCAGAAAGTTTTGTTACTTTATGTCTTTTTCTTTACTAATTTTAAATTTCAAACAAGTAAGGAAAATACCACAAGTCTGTATTTCAATAGCTAACTAACTCACATACATAGATATAAAAAAGTCATATGATATATATTGGATTTATTCTGTTGTCTTTCTTTAATACCCTTATTTCAGTCACCAACACTATTGGCAAATTGCTCTTTTCCTTTCAATACCCAATGTAAGTCTCACCTTCTCAATGCAATCCACTACAATAAATGGGAAGAATATCTACTACATGATTTCATTTTAGTATACTATATATTGCTAAATCTCAATTACAATGTCAAACAGATTATCCTCAATTTGAAATTTTCTTCAGGTCTAAGATCATTCCAGTATAAAGATAATGATGAGTCATCTATTTAAAAAAAAAATCTCTGAAGAAACATAACTTTTTCATTTTTGCATTAGAAAAAGGAGCAGTATTTTTAAAAGAATACATTATTAACTAGTATAAATCAAGAAAAATTTACAGCTACTCCTATTCATCCTTTTGTGGTCAAAAGCTAATTCCTTTTAGGAAAAACAAAAATATTTGAAGATATATTAAGTTATATAGGACTTTATACAATTTTCTAGGACATTTATTAAATATGAATGTATTTACATTTTATTGTATAATGCTATTAAAACTTATCTTAGAGAAAAAATACAGTGTATGAAAACTGAACTTACTTTATACACAATAATTCAATTTCTGTTCACATTATTTTTAATTTTAAAACATAAATGTGCCTACAAATCATCTATATATTTCATTCATTAGAATTTCATAAATACAAGGAAATGAGATATTAGTTTAATTTACCTTAATAACCAAATCAAATTTTTGATGAAAGTCTCTGTTTACTGGCTCCAGAAGACTAAGTTCTGCAGTTCGAGGATGCATATGGAAAAATCGCGGGTAATCCTCAGGAGTTCCTGAAAGACATTGGGATTTCAGCACATAATTGAGAACAAAAAGCAATATGTGTATCTGCTTTATCTATTTCCCTTCATTAACTAAGCAACAGAATTACAACTTTATTAGTAAATTAAGTTTCAAAATTATGCAGTCTAGGGAAACAGACACAAATGTAGTATATAATTAATTAGTTTCTAAATAAGAGAACAGAAAATATTTGTAAGTATGATTTTCTGAAGTCTTTTTGATTAAGAGAGCTCTTTAATTAATTTGAAATCTCATCACTTAAAAAAGAGACATTAAGTGGAGGAAAAGCAAATTTTGGTTTGTAAAATTGGGTTTTAATTGTATATAAATCTTAATCATAGCTTGGATGGTTTTTCACTGTATCTTACAATAAATAATGACTAGCAATTTAAACTAAATATCAAGATGCCTAGAAAGTAATATGAGCATATTCTGTTCCATCTGGGAAGATTTTTTTGAAGATAAGTATTCAGCTAATTATGCCAACCAGAGTAAATTAAAATATAGTCTTCATGATATTCTTAATATTTGGGGTGAGTCTATTTCTTAAATGCAAGCATTATAGTAACTTATAATGAATGTCTTCTCACAAAAATTTCCTTAACATATATTAATTTCCTCTATGTGTAATACTCTTTTTCCCCAAGGAAAAAAGGCAGAAAGGAGAATCAAATCATAGAACTCAAATCAAATCTTATTAATGATTACATATGTAAGCACACATCAATACCCTTGTGATTTATTTACACTTCATAGATGAGGACTTGGGTGATTTAAGACATGAAAGAACTTATTCAAGTCAAAGAGGTAGTATGAGATAGAGCTTACACTTAAATATTTGCATTCATGTCCAAAAATACACTTACTGCATTACTCTTTTGTCTCAACTCTGAGACAAAGAGGAAAACCCTAGTGGACATTATGGAAAGCCACAGAAAAACAGGAACAAAATAATGCCATTAAAATAGAATTGGAAATGTGGAAGTAGTAAAAATAATAGATGAAATTTAACCCATGATAAAAGAATTCTCTCTCTCACCAGGAAAGTTAAAAAAAAAAATCAGAATTGCTTTCATTCTTCGTATGATATTACATAGAAAATCTCAAGTGGAGTAGATAATTATATGTAAAAATAAGACAATATAGAATATAAAATTAAAGAATATATTATTACATATAATAATACATAATTGATGAAAATATTCATAAATTTTACTCTAATGTGAGAGTAGCAAATCTTTTAGAACTACAACTGAAAGTCAGAAGGCAATAAAGAAAAAGTGAGATAAATTCAATTATGCTAAGAGTGCCTCCTAGCAAGCATGAAGCTCTGAGTTCCAACCCCAGTATTACCAAAGAAAAAATTTTAAAACTTCAACTATGCTACAGAATTCCATTGCATGACACTAAACAGGGTAAAATCATGTGACAAACTGGGAAGATATTTCCAATTTATATCAATGACAACAGGTTCATATTCCTAATATATGAAAGTATATTATATATATATTTTATATATATATACACATATACACAGAGGAGAGAGAGATTTTAAAATTATGTAAGTGATAGGCACAACAATGCATTTAAAATAGCTGGCACTACAGTATGGACAGAGAGTTTATAGAAGGAGAAGGGCAAATGACTTTTGTCAATACAATGATGCTCCTCTAAATGCTGAAGTACAAAAATACAAATTAAAACTGCACTGAGATTTCATTTCTCATATTGTAGACTAGCAGTAGTGCTAGCTAGAAAACATACTTTACTGATGAGCATGCAAGAAAGAAGGCAGGTTTGGGTAGGTATGGTATTATTAAAGGAGTGCTATAAAACCTGTGAAAGAGAATTTAGCAAAAATCTGTCAAAATCGTACCAATGTTTACATTATTTTCTTTTGCAGTACTGCAGATGGAACCCAAGGCCTAGCTTATGATTGATGCTTTGCCCCTGAGCTACAAACCCCAGCCTATTGCTTACTTCTGACTCAGAAAACCTACTGTAATGATATTGTCAGGTTATAGCAAAAACCACATAACTATCTAAATCTGTATCAATAGTATAGAATAAATGGTGGTATATCTTTTAATGTATAATAATTCCTATATAAAAATGAAGTGTAACTATCTTTACCTATTATCATAGAGGTTTTTTTTTCAGATATATTAATTTAGAATTTGGAAAAAAATGACCTATTAGTATGGTAGCTGCTGTCTTTTTTTTTTTTTTTCTTTAAATGCTAGGGATCAAACCCAAAGTTTTGTTCATGCACCAAAAGCACTTCACTAATAAACTACATTCCATCCCCTGTTTTTATTTTTATTTTTAATTTGAGATGGCATCTCACTATGTACCCCAGCCTGGGATGAATTGGAGATCCTTCTACCTCAAGCTTCCTAAGGGCTGGGATTGCAGGGGTACAACATGACACGTGGAAGTATAGTAAATTTTAAAAAGAGAATAAACACATATTGGAAAGGGAATGTGCAGATATTTAAAAAACTAAGATAAATCACAAGATTCAAAATCAGTGCTACATGGGAAAGAGAGAAAGAGGAAATAAGTGTATGGGGTAGGCATTGAAACTAGACTTCATAAAAACTATATTACTGTTTTACATTTGGGATCCATATAAATGCTATAGTTATTATAAAATAAATTTAATGACATCTCAAAGATAAAATAAATAAGTCTAAATAAGAAAAGAACTATCCAGATAACTTTAAATCACATTAATTTGACATTGCATCTCTAGCATAATTCAGTTTCAGTATAAGATAAATTATTAAAAACATTAAATTGTCTACATTGTCTAATCATTGTTGGTGATGGTGTTGATGTTCTTAGTCTAAGATGGCTGTGAGAATGTTTTACAATAAATTAAATTAATAACTTTGTACTATTTTAATTTTATCATTCCCAATATTGAAAATTGGTAGGAACAAAAGATTAATGCTATGTCTTCTCTTCAACAAAATTAGAGATAAGGGCAGAACAGCTTCTGCCTAGAAGCGAGGGGGCTGGGGAGGAGGGGAAGGGGGTAGGAACAGGAGGTAGGAATTACCCAAACAGTGTATCCACATATGAATAAATTAATTTAAAAAAGATTAATGAAGTTAAATAAAACTTCTACAGTTTTGACCTTGAATTGATAGTGTAAGTTTAAACTCAATTTGTAGCTTATCTTGAGAAACAATGCATGTATGACATAACTTTTAACTCTGAAACAAGGAATTAAAAATAATGATCAACTTAGATTGTGGCCTTAAAATACTATTTGTCACTGATAGTAATTAGATTTCTGGAAGACATCCTTGATTTCAGATCCAGGACAGAAAATTAAGATAACTGTGAAACACTTTGTCACACCAGATAGCAGAAAGTTATCTGGACTACTAAACTGGTTTCACAAGATTTCAAGAACCAACAACAAAAGATTTTCTCTAGCTATAGATTGGAAAAATTGACCCACAATAAGAATAATATCTTCAATGATTTAAACATCAAATATGTTTAAATTTGCAAATTAATAATATTAAAAACATGAGCACCTTATAGATCACTTTGGAGAATGTTTGGAAACCATTTTAAAAACAGAAAAATGAAAACTGACACTGAATAAATAATTGAAGGAAATTTCTCTTTATGAACATATTCTAGCTACTAATGAAAAAGGGATCATAAAATTAGTGTCACCATTTTACAACCACTAGCATATTAAAGTGTCACAACTTTGAGCATTAACCAATGTTAGAACCAGAAAAAAGGCAGAAATATTTGACTCCTCATAGAATTAATTCATTTTGGACTTAGTTGTCTCTCCACCCAGTCCATATAATTGAAGTTCTCACTCTTAATATGACTATGTATAAAAATAAGGCTTTTTGAAGTGGTAATGAAGGTTAAATGAGGTTGCATGAGTGGGTCCTAGATAATCTGCACATTTTGTCTCTGTCTCTGTCTGTCTCTCTCTCTTTCTCTCTTTCCAAATATACACAGAAGAAGTAAGTACACAGCAGGAAAATGGATGTTTTTACATGCCACAAAGAGAACCCTCACCAGAAACCAAAAATAACCAATCCCTGGATCTTGATTTTCTAGGCTCTAAAACTGTAAGAAAACAAATTTCTGTTGTTTTAACTATGTAGTCTCCAATGTTTTGTAATGGCACTCCAAAAGTCCATATAGCATCTATGAAATAGCTTTGACAGAGAAAAACAAACAAACAGAAACCTTTATTTGTTTATGGGAAATTTAAGGGACAGAACCACAAATAAAATTATTCCAAGGAGAGCACAGTTTATAGGAAATTCCATGAAATAAACGGATTTTGTCAATAAATACATCACAGGGAAAAGAAATACTAATAGAAAGAGTACCAGTATAGAACTAAAGTGACACATAGAATAATGTGTGACTATTATATGAATTCTAGTTCTACTGACTGTGTCTGTAAAATAAAAGAAAAAGAAATTGCAAAAAATAACATTTATGAAAAGTGAAAATAAAAACTCAGTGGGTATTTGATGATGTTAAAGAATGATTGTTCAATGTTTTATCTGTGATATGAGAGTACAGCAATCTTTTAAATAGAGTTATTTTGTACACATTTACATCTGGTTTTTTTGTCAAAATACTGTGACAGGAGATACAGATACAGATATAAAAAAACTTTACCAAATGTTAATAATTCTTGAAACTAACAATACTAAATTGTGACTCTTTTTCTTCTTCTTCTTTATTCTGTATTTCTAATGAAAGTAAAAAAAAAAGTGACAATATAACTTAGGGCTGCCTTTGGTGGTCTTACCATAGCTTTCATCAGAGTAGAACACAACAAGGTTTATAGAAGGATAAGACAAAATGACTGAACCTAATTGAACAATGGCAGCTGATCTGGGGAAATGGCTTTTTCCTCCCAGATAGTAACACTTATTAACAGTTAACTCTGGAGTTACAGTGGGGAAAACATTGTAATTTCTTTATAGAT